TAAGTAAATATGATACACGGGTAAATGCGTTCCTCGATTTTATTTTATTTATATTTTTATTTTTATTTCACTCTGACGTAAGTAATGTCAGTTTTTTTTTGTCCGGAGACGGTATTCCACTGCGAATTTTTTTCTACGCGCAAATACAATGAGACATATAAAGAAACGAACAAAGGAAAATTTAAAAATAAGCAATGTACTGAAATAAGTGAAATAGAAAATGGCAAAATAAAAAAGTTAGTAATGTAACAGCAGTTCCAAAGTGTAAGAAAACTTTTTTAAGAAAAAGTTTAAACCACTCGGAACCAACACCGACGTTGATTACTATTGTACTTACAATTATTTCGTTTTTTTGCTATTTCTCTTCTTTAGTGTCAACTGACAAATTTTTATCTTCATTTTGTTAAATTTTACTGTCGCAATTTGCTGCTGAAGAAACAAAAGTTTCTTTAAATTAATTAATTATTTCAATTAAAAATACTTTAATCAGTCTAGTTTCTTTTAATAGATAAAGAAAAATAATCTCTTTATTTCAAATCCATGGATGGTGTTCAGCACATGGAAAGAAATTTTCTTTAAAAATTACAAGAAATGAGGGACATTTCTTCCTTCAAGATCTAATTAAAATTATTTTGATAATTATTCACAAATACAATTTTAAGAAAAATTGAAAAGTACTAAATTAGTAAAAATAATAAGCTTTAAAAATTAATAATTATTTTTAAATATTTATATATTTAAAATTACAATAAAATAGAATATTTTACTGAAAGTAAAAAAAAATTTCGAGGAGTTTTTTAGTTAAAATTTATCCAAGTGTTGGATTATCCACCGACTGAGCCAGGGCTGCAATTGCTCAAGACTTGTCAGCTGTAGAAAAATTTACATATTTTTTTGATCAGTTCTTCCTCAGTAACTGTTAATTACTCTAACAAGACTTTTACCCAATTATCATTATAATTTAATTTTATCCAATTAGTTAAATATTATTTATAAAAATGAAATTTAATAACACTCCGAATTTTTAGTTTACTTGTACCGACTATTTTATATAAAAATATATTTTCAAGTGAAATAGCCAAAAAAAATAAATAAAAAATTTAATGTTTTTAAATATATATATATATATATATATATTTTTTATATTTTTTTTTTCATGGGAGTATTAATAAATATATATTAACTGCTTATAAATCGCATTTAATAATTCGTTAATTAATTTTGTCATTCGGCTATTTTGCCTTGACATAAAAATTGAATAAATAAATAAAAAAAAACAAAATAAATTAAAAGTTAATAATACTTATTAAATATTAAAAAATTCTTCTATCAGTGTATTTAAAAAAAAAAAATGCCTCGGATTCGAACTCTGATCCTCTAAAAATTTTTTAGAGAAATTAAATATCTAGATTATAAAATTCTAACTACGAGAACTGTAGCCACCTAGTGGAAACTTAAGAACTAATTTATTTAATTATTTATTTTAAATTTCCAAATTTATTCAACACACTTCTAGAAGAATTTTAATAAATTCTTCTTTTAGTGTAGATGCTCTATTAAAAATAAAATTAAGATTGTAAATATGTAAGATATAAATTAAAAAATATGAAATATTTTTTTATTTCACCATTTTTTCGTTTATTATAAGTTTATTTCTTCCAAAAATATATTGTATGTTCTAAACAAAATTTTAGGTTAAACTTTCATAAAAAAAAAATATTTCATATATATTTAAACCGCAAACGAAAGAAATTCCCCCGTAAATCTAAGGACCAATAAAAAAAACTGTAAATAAATCAAAAAGTGAATCAAATACTATCTGAAAGCCCTTGAAATTCTAAAATAAACGCTTAAACAATTAATTAAAATAAAACTAACCCCAAATATCATAAAAAATTTATAAACCCGAACAATAGCTTTGGAAACAATAAAAGTATATAATGATCCTGGAAAAAAAATCTTATGTGGAAAAAGAAACGTGCCTATTAAACGAGACTTTAAAACGTTTCATTTTAAAGTATATAAATAAAATAAATATATAACATATTCACCAGATACAAAGATAAGAATGAAATAACCGCGAAAACAAAAAGCTCTCTATTTCGTTATTTTCTTTGTTCTTTAATCAAATGATATTCTTTTCTATTATATTAATAAAATTCTTAAATTCGTGTCTCTGTCTCGGTCTAACTAAACCTTACTTTCGACGTCGGCCATCTTAGATCTTAGAGTCCATCTTGTCGGCAATGTATCACAGATACCTAAAAAATAAAAAAACGAAGAATTGAAATTATTACAAATGGATTTTTTCGATAAAATGGTCGTTAATAATTAAAAAAAAATGTGGAGTTTAATTATTATAATATTTAACCGCTTCAGGAATTAAATTACTCTTAATCGATGGCAATAAGTAACTGTCATACTTAAATTCGTGATAAACGAATTAATTTAAAAACTATTATAATAAATTACAACAAAGACATCAATTAATAATTAATAAATACTGTTTATATCATTCTAAAGTGTACCTTTTGTGTGAGTGTGTGTTGAAGTATTGTAAAATTTATTTTTAATGACATTTTAATGAAGTATCTCTTTGTATACTAATTGTAAATGTGAATAATTATAAATTATAAAAAATATATATGAATATGAATGATGTATATAAGATAAAAAATATACAAATAACTATTTATGTTTAAAATTATGTGCTGTTATATGTATTTTATTTTTTTTAACTGTTAAGTTGTGATGTAATTTATTTTTAAAAAAACAAAATTGTTTCTGTAAATACTTACAATAAATTCAATTTTAAAGTAACTTTAGTTTTGATTAATCCTCTCACCTGAAAGACGGGATATCGAATCCCGTAGGAGGTGAATCTAAAAAAAAATAAATTGTTATTGGGATATTACTTTTAAAGATGAGGGCGAGGAAGAAATATTAATTTAGTATTAATAAAAATTTTCTTACCCGCAGACAATCTATTCCTTTGATGATATCGAATTATTTTTCTATATCGACACGACACACAGACTGGAGACAAAAAAAAGTGTACTACCAGGATGTTGGATGTTATAGTATAAAACCACCCTTTTTGAAAAGATAGCTGAAAATAATACTGCTCCCGGGAAAATTGTTTTCTCTTGATCGGCAATGGATCGAGCTTTTGATTACTCTTTTTTCTTTTTCCTCTGGCTCTGAAACAGGGTTTTTATTTTTTAACTTTCTCCATCCCGGCTCACATCACATTTTTCGCTACACTTTTCCACCCCTGTATCGCCTTCAGATTGTCATCGAGATATAAAGCGTGAAATATATAAAAAAAAAAAATTATCGGTGAAGCTCCACGGCCTTGACGCTCTCGACAATATTGAAAAATGTCAAACTAACATATGCTCCCGGATAACTTCTTTTTGATTAAAAATAAAAAACTAATACTCTTACTCATACATATACATATCCAAAGTTCATGAATAAATATATGTAATCGATAGGGTTTCTATTTCCGAAAGAATGATTTTCAACCCAATGTCACATCTGAATAATTGTTTTTATTATATACAATAATTTGGAAAAAGGTACACTAGCCACAAACGGTACTTTTACCCTAATTTAATTAATTATATAAAAAAAAAAAAAAATTAGGAAAACGTGTGACCCTAAAGGCTATCCCTGCAACTTTCCCGCTAATTCCATTCTTAAGCGCTCAAAATTGCGCTTATTAAGTTTTTGAGCTCTTCGAGCTCAAAAATATACTTTTTGTCATACACGAAAAAAAGAAAACGCAGGAATAATTGACTATTCGTTGAGCATTTATTAGATTTTCAAATAGTAACCCAGCGCTTCATTAACGAAAATCTAAAAGTTACAGCTTTTGGCGCTACGCAGTAAGTTTTACATTTTGAGTAAGAAATATTAGAGTTTCACGATGTATAAAAGTTACTATCTCACACTGTAAGTTTTTGTACAAATCATTGAAATAATACTCGATAAGCGTTAAAATTTAGATTTTCATTTAACAAGTTTGAATCCGATTTTTTACACGGAAATAAAAAAAAAAATATCAATATATAAAATATTTTTTTTCTCCCATTAATAATACTCACTACCTAAATATTTATATCCTAATATTACAATAAGTAACAATCTGTCATATATTGAATTTTAGTGTGGCAAATATGGAAAACGGCAATTCTAAAGTCTATATGTGAAACAAAAAAAAATTTTTTTTTTAATGAAATTTAATTTTTGGTATTGGTTATTCATATATTCATGGGACATATTTCTTATCATATTTATTTTCGAAGTTTTTAATTTGAGGAAGGGGAGAGGGGATTAGTATTAGAAAATTAGTTGATCATATCACACACATACTCGCGTTCCTTATATAAATAAACTTATAATAATATTAATCGCAAATTACCCTAGCTAGGATTCGATCCCAGCGTCTACGCATGAAAGACCGACGTTTTATTCCGACGCTATTCGAACGACATAGCATTCTGTGTAGTAGAGTGTAGTTAATATTATACGGGAGAGGGGATAGAATTCTCTACCGCTATTCAAACATTGCTGAGCCAAACGTTAAATTTTGGATTTTAAGTAGTAAGTTCCTGGCTGCTAGAGTATTGACTGTACTTAATATAGAAAATCTAAAAATTACAGCGTGAGATGCAATAGTTACTTTTTCTATACTAACGTTCATAATTCGTATCTCACACTTTAAATTTTAGTGAACCTGTAAATAAACTTTATTATTTGGCATTTTAATTTGTACATTGCTGCAAAATGATAATTTTTACAGTTTTAAATAGAAATTAATGACTTTTAAAGAGATAAAATTTCCTGCATAAAAAGCAATAATATTTTTACCTTTTATGATGTTAGATTTACATTTCCAAACTGTAAAATTTGCTTCTTGCATGACAACAATTTTTTTACTATATAAAATACAAAAATTACAGTTTGAACTTTAATTTTTTCTATTTTGATAACGACGGGCTTGATTTTACATTTTATACTGTAATTATTCTTGTTTTCTTTTTTCCGTGTATTTTTCATACATGTGACTTATATGATCTTAAGAGGATTAGGTCTTAACATTTTCTTGAGTTTTAAGTTGATACAAAAGATTCTTCTCTTTAATAAGCTTAAGATCTTTAGATATTTCTAAACATTTGAACTCTATTGGATCATCAACAGGCTCCCAATGAACAGTACCCAACTCCACCGCCAAATTCGGATTTCTGCAACCATTTATATTCATATATCGGTAAAGAATCTCTATAGATTCCTAAAAATACTCACCCTGTTTTAGCAAAAGTAGTCCACAGATCCAAAAATTGTTTTTGAATGACTTTTTCTACTGGAAACTTACATGGTTGATCAATTCCAAGTTTCTTCAGTATAGTTGCATTGAAGAGATAGAAATTTTCTTCAGTATGTGCCGTACCTAAATCAAAATTTATCATTCAAAAGAACATAAGTTAAGTATTTTAATACCTTCCAAGTCTGTGTTAAGCATCTTTTGAACCACTGCAGACTCCTTGGAATAATAGTCAAATTTGTACAAATACGACGGAATCTTAGATGCTGATAATTGGATTTCCAAAACATGATGGATGTTAACCCAGTAGAAATCAGCACTGACCAAATCTATGTACTGTTGAGCGTTTGCTCTACTTATTTCCTTGTCACCATAAAAGAATGTTTTCATATCGCTCACAGAAATATTTCTAGCTTCCAAAAACTTCTTGCCGTTTGGATGGAGGAGGAGCTTCTCTGGATTAGCAGCTATTTCCTTGTAGTCTTCATCTGTAAGATCTGGAATGACAACACAATAGAGCTGACTGGTCAAATTCGAAATAATCAAAAAGTAACGAATAACTACCCGATTTAAAGCGAATTGCTTCTTTACTTGTATAGCCAATAAGATGAGGTACTCTGATTCCAGCTTTAACAGCTTCAATTATCAGAATGCTGAGAAAGGGAAACTTTGATTTTGAATCTACTGAAGGAACAAACGGGAAATTGATCAAATATCCTTCCTCTCGGAACTCTAATGATTGGATAGCTTTTAGTAGGTCAGAAGGATCTGCATTTTGAAGAAAGACAATCAAATCTTCATTTGATCGTCCCATTATTCCAGATACTTGCTCTGCAGCGTCTTTCATTGGGTAGGATACGTATGATCTTGGATTTGAAGCGACACTGCTTTGCAAAATAGCTTTGTTGAACAGCCCTAAGAACCAAAGTTTCAATTAAGCGTAAACCACTGAAACTAAATCACTAAATTTTATGTTGGTAAAATGATACCTTGGGTTAAAGGTGAAAGAGTCAAATAATGAACCATAGCGCTTCCAGAAGACTGTCCAAAAATAGTAACACTATTAGGATTTCCTCCAAATTTTCCAATGTTCTGCTGAACCCATTTCAGAGCCATCATTGTGTCCTTTAAACCTTGGTTTCCTGGTACTGATTCGTCGTCCAAATTCAAGAACCCTGCACCAATCACTATCGTCATTACCATACTGCTCAAAATCAGGCAACTTACCAAAAATGTCAAGACGGTAGTTAATCGTCACAAGGATGACATCTTTCTGCACCAAATAGTCGGGTCCGAATTTATCATCATTACCAGACCATATCGCAAAAGCACTACTGTGGATCCAAAACATGACTGCCCGCGGTTCTTGAGGAGTCAAATTCGTGGTATAGACATTCAAAAACAAGCAGTTTTCACTCCCCAAAACCTTCTTCGAATATCTATCGAACTGAGTACACGAATTACCAAATTTCGTAGCATCTCTAACACCAGACCACGGTTCAACCGGTTTTGGATCTCTAAATCTTAATTGGCCGATTGGTGGTGCAGCATATGGAATTCCGCGAAACGCGAAAAAATTATTTTCCTTAATACCTCGCAGCTGTCCCGAATGCACTTTTATAATAGGTTCGTTTTCTGCAGCGAATGATGTAAACGTTAATATGATTCCACTTATCACGCAATACTCTAGTTTGAGAATCAGTTTCATATTTAAGTATCCTCACGGAATCATACAGTCGTAATGAAACAGTATTAAGCAACCAACGAGTGTTAATAAGCTGTATCAACAGTAGAATTTTACGTAATGTTCAGTTGTGTTTTGATTCTCAACATAAGACATCATAAAGTAATTTGGCAAATCATGTAGAATGGCTAATTACAGCTTGGTGACAATACATCATGAACTATAAAAAGCATTTTCAACATTAATGGTTTTCTTGATATATTCAATTTAAAGTAAGAAAAAGTTTTTTTATCGAAAAAACAATGATTAATCCTTATAGAGAATTTATCGAAGTTTCTAAAACCCAACTTTAATTTTCTGTACGATCATTGGTTGCTGAGATATTGATGGTTATAAAAAACAAAATAATCCTTTTCTATTCAAAGTCTTACACGGAAAAAAAAATGTGGAAATCGTTCTTATAATTTTAATGAAATGTTTTCCTATACCATTTTAGGAGCGATTACTTAGATTATGGGAATTCTACCTATAATTTTTGGGAAATTTTTCTATAATTATGGAAATGATTCCTATAATTATAGGAACGAAACCTATACTTATATCTGTCATATGTAATTATCGGCATGATTCTAAATAATCCGAAAGTAAAGGAGGGTTACGTAAATTTAATATTTAAAATGCCCTTAAAATTTTGTAAAAGAGATTATGAGTTTATTAGGCACAAAAGTAAAAATTCTATAATGTAATTCTAATGACACTGGAGTAAATCTTTGCGATAGCGGGTCATTTACAAAAAGTTGTTAGAAAATAAGTTTGTGTTAAAGTTTAGACAAATCAATCAATCAACATTTTAAAGTAGACTAAATATTGAACAATGAATATTTAAAAAATAACAAGTAAAACTATTATTTTTATATTTGCACACGTGGTCAAGTATATTTTAAATTACCACGTGCATGTCAAAGTAGAGGGGATCTATACGACATGTTTAGGAAAACACTAAAGAGAGTTCAATTTTTTTTGTGTATTTTTTCGAAAAGTTCATTCAAAAACAAAAATTTTTTTTAAAAAAAAGGTACCCAAAGGTCAATAACAAAAAAATTTATGGCACTATTAAAAAATAAAAAAGCCATTTTTTTGAAAAATTCATAACTTTTTTTGGGTTGGGACAAAAAAAATTTGAAAAAATTCACAAAAATGTTTTTCAAAAGGTAGAAAAGAATGATAAAGTTTCAGCTCAATCTAAAGGGGTCGAGTTAAAAAGTGGTCAATTTAATATGAAATACTCCATATATAATAAAATTACCCAACTTTTTTGATTTTTTAATTTTGCTTAATTAATTAATTAAATTAAAACTAAAAAATATTTTTTTTCAAATTGAACTTACAGTTTTTAAAATTTTTTACAAATATTTGTTTTTTTTTATAATTTTTTTTATTCAAAAAAATTATAAAAATTTTTAGATGCCAGCTAGGGTAAATGCACCAATTAATGACCGATTAAGGTTTTCTTTTTCTGTACTAAGCTATAAAAAATCTATTAACCTACTAAAAACAATTTGTAATGGATTTTATTAAAGTTAAATACTTAATTAATAATAATTAATAACTATTTATAATAAAAATTAACAAAATTATATTAATTTTGTTATTTGAATCCTGAAATACTAAAATCACCAATTATTGACCGAAGAAACCCAATAAATGACCGAACGTTCTCCAATTATTTAACCGCTCAAATAATTATAAGTAATTTGGTAAACTACATGTATGTAATTAAATTTATGCAGTACTTTTGAAGTATTAACGACATCTTTAACAAAACTAAACATACAATATAATTTTAAATCGTACTTTTTTATAAAATAATATAAATAATAGCAATAATTAACATAAAGTCACATTTCTTTAATCAAATTCATTTTGATGACGATAATTCTTCTGATTCACTTGAAATTTTTTTATTCTTCTCCTTCTTTTTAGTAGATTTTATAAAAATCTAACTATTGTATTTGTCCTCATGACGTAAATTTCCATAAATTTTGCTATATTTTGACCTAACTCGACGAACTGAGTCAGAAAATACATATGGTTCGAAACTGTATATATATATACCTGCTTGTCACGACGATAGCGTCAATAATTCTCAAGGGATCTTAATGAAACTCAACATACTTATTCTATCGACTATTAGGAAGGTCAAGTTCAAATATGAGCTTAATCGGTCATAAAGTTTAGAAATTACACCAGTTCAAAATTTTGAAATTTTAAAAATTTGATACTTTCACTACTTTTCCTTCAAATAACTTTTGAACGCGTCGAGTTATTCAATTTCTGTAAAATGCATTTGAAAGCTGAGAAATTAAGCTTCAATTTATGTGCTCAAATTTTTTTCTGAAGCAAAAAAAATTCATCTTAGGATCATTTTTAAGAAATTTTACTCTTGCAGTCGTTTTGTCTATACAAAACTGACTGAAAAGTACTGAAGTACAATAATTCTTCTCTTCCTTCATTAAACGTTATTTTTTTTTTTGTTTTTAATCCTAGTAGTTTTTAATTTTATTCATCATGAAATCTACTTCCATTTCGGCTGCCGAATGGCCTTTTTTTTCAATTAAAGCTTTTTTACTAGCTTGTAACTCTTTTTTATTTTTTTAATTGCTTAGCAATTTTTTCTTCTAATAATTCGTTCTTTGATATAACCGTTCACTAAAAAAATTACAACAAAATAAAATTTAATAATCAAAAAAGATTTTAAGTATTATTTTAATTGTAAATATACATTTTATAATGATTATTTTTATATTTACAAAATATTTAATGACTAAAGTACTTTAAACACTTGACAGATTTAATTTTGAGGTTGAGAAGTTAGTATTATAAATATACGGTCATTAATTGGGTTGTGATAAAATTAGGGGGTCTAATAAATGACCGAATGAATTTTTTACTGGGTAAAGAACTTCTGACGGATCCAATAGTTGACCGGTCTTAAAATAATATTAAAACTTACAATTTAACTTTATTTTTTCAAAAAAGTTGGAATCTGATCTTTAATTAACATAATAAAACTAAAATATTTTATATTATGCCGATAAATATCACTAAATTAATGATGAAATGCACTGACTCTCCAATTGTACGCTAGTTATTTTTGACCGCTTTATGGCTGGTTGCGTTGTAAACGAACTCAGAATATTTTTTTAAAGCTGTAATCACTGACTGCGCAATTAATTGGGTAATTTTTTATTATGATGATTAATCGCCATATTTTTTTATTTTAATACTTTAAGAAAAAAAAAACCCTTGTAAAATATTAATTAATTAACTTTTTTCATACATCGGTCAACTAATTGGTGACCGGTCAACAACTGGTGCATTTACCCTTACTTAATTTTGATTAATTAATTCAATTGATTTTTAATTAATCGTGATTATAAAAGATTCAACAATTCTAAAAAAAAAAATTAAATTTCAAAATTTTGGCGGTCTTTCAAAACTCCCGCCACTAGCGGGAATAAACGCAAGTACTCCTGAAATTCCAAATATGGCGGAGATTGACGCGTGCTGTCCGCCCGAGCACTTGTATATAAATATAAATAAAAAAATAACAATTTAGAAATACAAATACCCCATGCAGGTACAATAATAATCTGAGCTCAAGTAACTTCCTGTTAATGATTGTTTACATAACACCAGTATCTGTAGTGTGTGCGGTAAATAATCAACAGTCAACAATAGTTGGTTCTGCACAATGGATTTATTGCATCTAACTATCACAACTGAATAATGAGTTATTATTTTAATTGTCGAAAAAAATAACTCGAGAATGGCGGATGTCGACGACGCGGACGCTCCTCTAGATCCCAGGATTCAGGTAATTTTTTACTTTTTGTTACTGTCATCTTTTTCTAATTGTCACTTTTGTAATTATCAATTTTTATTTATTTATTATACTAACGTCACTTTATCCGTGATCCGACAATCAGTTAGGTTACTTATTGCTATTTTAGATTTTTTCAGATGAAATTCGTGACACCTGACACCGACCAGTACCATGTCCTACTTATAAATTTTTGTTTTATTTTATTAATTAAATTATTATTTGTCATAGTAATTCTTGTGCGTTGATAAACAAATTACTGGTGATTCATGTATATGTAATACTTTTGTTGTTATTACTCATTACTCATAACTATTGTTAATGTTTTGTTCTAGTCATGTTATATTTTATATTTTATAGTTTGTTCTTATTTTATTATTTTAATTATTGAAAATCGGAGTTATTTTTATTAAAATTAATTTAGCAGACTTTTGATAACTAATAATGAAAATTAATAATACTAAAGTTAGCCGACGATTTCAATTTTTTCATTTATTTTTTAATAATTAAATTAGAACAAAAAAATATTTTTTTAAAAAATTCCACTTACAGTTTTTTTTTATTAAAATTAATTTAGCAGACTTTTGATAACTAATAATGAAAATTAATAATACTAAAGTTAGCCGACGATTTCAATTTTTTCATTTATTTTTTAATAATTAAATTAGAACAAAAAAATATTTTTTAAAAATTGCACTTACAGTTTTTAAAGTGTTTTACAAGTGAAATTTTTTTTTTTTATTTTTTTGTAATCATTTCTTCAATAAAAAAAAAATTCTTAGAATTATTTTTATTGAAAAAATTATTACAAAAAAATTAAAAAAAAAAATGTCACTTGTAAAAAACTTCAAAAACTATAAGTGAAATTTTTTAAAAATAGTTTTTCGTTTTAATTTAATTATTAAAAAAAAAACAAATAATTTAAAACTTCGGCTAATTTTAGTATCATTAACTAGTAATATTTTTTACAAACAAATTATGACCAAAAAAAATTAAAAATTCAATTTTTTGAAAATAATTTTTCGGAAAAAATTTGTTTTTTAAATAAAATTAAAAAATTTTCAAGTAATTTTTTTTTTTTAATAACAAAATTTCTTAATTATTAATGATACTTTAATTAAAAGACTAGACAATTTTTTAGATTTTTTTTTGCTTATTAAATTAATATGAAAAAAAGAATCCCGGAAAAAATTTTTAAGTTATGAAAATTTTATATTATTTAATTAAAATTATAATAATAATATTTTTTTTTGTACCAAAAAATGGAGCGATCATTCTGAGAGTGCTCGTTTTTATAGATAATTGTATGAAAATTAATTTAGCAGTTACTTGATTATTTTAAGAATTTTTTTGTCAAATAAATATGGCAAAAAAAATGACATGAAGAAATTAAAAAAAAATAAATATGCAATTTTTTTAACAATAATTTTTTGGAACAAATTTGTTTGTTAAATAAAATTAAAAAATGGTTAAGTGACTGCTAAATTTAATGTCATAAATTTGTCGGTGTGATACAATTATTATTATTATAATTTTTATTTTATAATAATTTTAATAAAATAATATGAATTTTTCATAACTTTAAAATTTTTTCCGGTCTTTTTTTTCCAATTATCGAAAAATATTAGTAAAAATAATTCATAAGTAAAATTAAAGAAATTTAAAGTGCAAATTTTTTTTTTTAGTATAATTAATTAATAAAAATTGTAAAATTTTTACGTAGAATTTTTTTGATCCTAATATTCAAAAAAAAAAAAATTATTTAATTTTTGTTTGTAAAATTTTTGAAAAATTATAATTTAAAATAATTCATTAAAAAACATTTTTTTTACAGATTGAATTGGAAAATTTAAATAGTGCGACTGATGATATCAACAAACTTGAGATTGAACTTGATGTAAGTTTAATTGCTCATCTTTTAATTTTTATTAACTACTTTATAATTGATAATAATAATAATAATGATAAGATTAGTTATCTAATAGATGTTTTTTTTATTTTAGTCGGTCAATGTTAACGAATTACTTTTGCTTTATCATAATAAATAATGTAAAAATTAGTTATTTAACTTGCTTGATAATTATATATTTTATGTTGTGTCAGTTATCAAACTTTAAAATTAATTTAATAAAATTACAAACCCTTAAAATTAAAAAAAAAATTTATAAATATTATAATTTAGTTTGTTAAGAATTATTCAATTTGATTTTATTTAAATTTAACAATTTAATCGCTATAATAATAATTATTAATATTATTGTTATTATTACAGGAAGCAAACAGTACATTCAAACAACTTCTTTCGGAGTCAACGAAGCAATTAGAAGAATTTGTAAATAAATTAGGGCAGAGTTGTATTGAAAAAGCCCGATGTTATTACGAAGCTAGTGAAGTTGCTCGTCAAGCACAAGTAACTTTTTTTTTTTTAATTAATTATTAATGTAAAAAAAACATGACTAGGTGTGTTAATATCTCCGAACAAAATATCCAAAAAAATGCACAATAATTTTTTTTGTTATAATTTTTTCACTTGTCATTTCAATTATTAATAATTTAAAATTGTGTAAAAAAACACAATTATAATTTATCTTTATCAATAACAACATCGAAATATAAAAAAGTGATTTATAAATTCTTTTTTAAAACATTTTTAAAATATCATGATAAATCTATATTTTATTTACTCTAAAATTATCAATAAATTTTTTATCAAAAAAATTTATTGGTTTATTTAAAAATTATTTATTAATTGAAAAATAATATTCAACTAGTAACCTTGCAGTCACAAAGTGACTGCCGTGATTTGTGAACTATAAATAAATAAAATTTTGCTTTATTAAATAATGACTTTTGTTAAACTGCACTGTACTTTCTTAACTATTGACATTTTTAAAAATATAAGATCATCCCGATGTTACACTCATAAACAGCTTTCATTTGAGTACCCACATGCATTTTTGATATATTTTTCATATATACATATATATAGTATATATTTTAAAGAAATAAGCTCATCCCGATGTTACACTCATTAAGAGCTTTCATTTGAATACCCACATGTATTTTTGATATATTTTTCATATATACATATATATATAATATATATAAATATATAAAATATATGAAAAATCGATGTGGGTACTCAAATGAAAAGTCTTGACGAGTGTAACATCGGAATGAGCTTATGTCTTTAAAAATGTCAATAGTTCACAAGATACAAGGTCATTTCTTAACTATTGACATTTTTAAAGATATAAGCTCATCCTGATATTACACCTATAAAGAGCTTTCATTTGAGTATCCACATGAATTTTTGATATATTTTTCATATACATATATATATATATATAAAAAATCGATGTGGGTACTCAAATGAAAAGTCTTGACGAGTGTAACATCGGAATGAGCTTATGTCTTTAAAAATGTCAATAGTTCACAA